GACACAAGACCATTTTAAAAAACCATACCACATTACCAATAAATACAGAGCACAATAAATCTTCCACGATACGGGACATATTTAACAGATTACAACAATCAATGAATATACACACCTCAGTTGTAAATAAAATTACGCTCCAAGTAACACCACCCTGGAAATGGGAACTGAAACTAAACACGGAACTTCTTTACATCAATAAAAACGTAACAAATAATACAATAATCATTTCTCTTTTTAAAAATACGATCCAGCTTATAATATTAAAATATTAGCTTAAAATATTCTCCAACTTTACAAAAATATACACCGATGCATCAAAATCCGAGCATGGAGTAGGCTTCGCCATAATAAAAGATGACACAATTATTCAACATAAGCTTCCAATAATAACCAGTATTTTCTCTGCCGAAAACTATGCCATATATGAAGGGGTAAAACTAGCAAACACGCTAAAATCAAATGATATACTTATAATCAGCGACTCTCTTAGCACCTTACTATCTCTCAAAAACCTATCCACCAAAAACGAAATAACCCTAAATATCCAAACAAAATTAATTGAAACAAATAAAAATATAGAATTCATGTGGGTCCCTTCCCACACTGGCATTGCAGGAAATGAAAGAGCTGACAAATATGCTGATCTTGCAACAAAAAATATTCCAACCCCCACTTTAAATAACATCCCGTCCAATGACATATTAAACTCTATTAATAAAAAAATCCTCTCAATTTGGCAAAATCAATGGAATTTAATACCACCATCTAACAAACTCAAAAACATAAAAAAAACTATCAAAAAGTGGTACACCTCCCCTCATCTTGACAGACGTCAAGACACCGCAATCACCCTCATCAGAATTGGACATTCCTTACTCACACACTCATACCTTATCAGCAAAGAGCCCCCAACCAAGATGCGACACATGCAATCCAGCACTCACCATTAAACATAAAGTGAAGGAATGCACATTGTACACCTCAACTCGCACCGACCTCAACAAACCACCCAACGTTGGAGAAGCACTCGAAGAACGTAACACGTCAAAAATCATAGAATTTCTAAATATTACCAATATTATCAATAAATTGTAAGCTCTGTAATAACCTTATAAATTGAATATCTAATTTTAAGAAACATATATGTAAAATATTGTCAGGCTAATAACCTTTGACGTTGAAGCCTTATTCTTTAAATAAAAAACAAAAAAAAAAAACAATAAAATAAAAACATTTGTTGAAAATTTCTAGTAGGTACTTACGGTTACGGTTAATAGATTTTGAATTACACCAAAATAAGAAAATTCTTGAGATTTTGTTAATTTTCGGGTGAATATCCAATGTCTAACTTCAGACGCTCATAAAAACATATTGTGAATTTACGCTTTACTTTTTTTTTAATTTCCACAAACAACAACTTATGGTAAACCTTGTATTACATTTTTAGTTTTTTGACCAAGCAAAAAAATTTTTATGAACACTTATGGGATAAAAAACCAGCTACATATATTATATAAAGAAAGAAACTTCTTTGAAAAATTGGCTAATATCTTTAAAATTCAACCCATCATTTTCAAAATTATACAACCAGGCTCTAACTCAACATCATTATTCAAAATGCAATTTGAATTGTTGGTAGTAGTAATTGGATCATTAACACTTGAACAATTTAATATTGGCATATATTCAAGTGCCATGAAATTGCCTGATCCAGTATCTTTAATTTTAGTATTAACTATAATTTTCTTGTATGCCGATTTAATCTGCCTTAAAGTTGGGTTATTTTTATCATCACATAAAGCTCTAATACTAACAAAGAATATTTATAAATGACCCTGGCTAAGTTAGTACATAAGAATACATTTCAAGCAATTTGTGTCGATATATTTAGATTGAAGACCAATTAAAGAATTAAAACTTATCAAAAATCCTAAAGAACCAGTACATTTTTAAGATTTTAAAAATAATTGACCTTTTTAAATTATGTACCTAGAGTAAACGAATAAATGTCTATCATCCTTGTTTTCAAGGCATTATAAATTCACCTATAAAAAGTTATTGTTGTTGTAGGGATTTTAATTTAATTACTAATTTTGCAATGCTTCATAGTCATGAATGGCCCGATTATATAGATACACTTAGATCATAATCCAATCTCATCTCTGTTTAAATTATTAATGCATAGTGTTACTAATATTTGTTTTAAAAGATTAGTTGTTTTATTTGAAATTGCTTCATGAACCTTAATATATTGGTTATTGCCTATATTTGGTAATGTTGGAAACTTAAAAACTTTTTCTGTTAGTTTCTCAAATAATTTGTCTGGGACTAAGCTTATGTCTGTCAGCCCCGGATCTATCGATGTTTGAATTGTTTGTATACTTTTTACCCATTTTTGTTATACCTATGTTGGATGTTCATAATGAATTAGACTTATACTTAGTTCTGACCCTGGGGATTTTGTTGTTGTGGTTGAGTCTATTTCACATATCTTGATTAATTAAAAACTATTTTAGTATAATATTATACTTACACTAAAATGTTTGAGGTATTATATTAAATTACAAAATGTATTCCAAACTATCTAGAGTTGAGCTATCAATTTACATAGCGTAGTACAATAGTAGGTAATTATTCTGAAAACATTATAACTCGCAGATGATTGAGTTAGAAATAATAATGTCTAGGTACTCGTATACTACTCTGTTGAGTTGATGAAATACCAACTTTATGAAAAATTGGATCCAATATTAAATTCAATGTCGTGAAGGTTTGGTAAAATCTAAAATATTTTCTCAAATCGATAGATAGGAAGATATTATTATTTTTCAATTAATTTGATTCTATGTGGTGGATCAGAACTTGCTCTACAACATTATTTCGATTTTCAACTATTGTTCTACTCCGTATATTTCCTATTGAATATTAAAATAATGTTTATTATTAGGTACTGTTAATTTAAGGCATTTAAACTATGCAATACATATGCCAAACTTCAGAAAACATTTCACTATTAGTTGTATGTATGGTCACTGCCACGAAACCATTGCGGCGTTGATAATGAGAACCAAAAAAACAAAAACTATAAAATATTATTATGTAAAATTGTCTCACAAACATAAGATGCAAATTTAAAATATTTACGACATTAAGTATTATATTTGAGTTGGACCAAAAAAACTAAATCGATTTTATAAACAAACTGGTTTTGAGTAAATTCTCCGTTTTCCTTTATTTTTTCAGGGATTTTTCTGAAGCTTTTGTAAAACTACTTTGGATTTTTTAATTTTTTCCCTTCAAAATACCAAATTTGACATACTTTCCTTATTCCTACCAGAAAAGATAATGAAATAGAAAATCACAGCATTTTTACTGTCTCAAAAGGCGATGAGTGGTTACAGACACAAAAAAACTTATATCATGGTTTATTCAATATAATATCAGAACAAAGTAGATTTTATAGCTGCATTATTTTGAGTTTTTTGTGTTTTTTTTTTAAGTTTTAGTTATAATTCAATAATAAATTTTTTTAAGGAATTGAAATGATTACCAATTACTTATTTATATGAACATGTTCAGTATGGAACCATTATCTTCTTGAAGAATAAATAAAAATAAAAAATAAAAAATAAAATAAAATATTAGTTTATAGTTTATCCAGCGCGACGGTAGTGGTAAGTAAAAAAAAATAGCGGAGTAGCGCTATAGACGTATAATAACAGGACACCAAGTTTTAATTTATAATAATAATATTAATATTATTAAATAATAGAATAATAAATGCTATGATTAAGGCAAAAGTAAAATCAACTTAGGTACAATATTATTTATAGAAATTAGTAAAATAAATTACTATACCTAATAGCAATACAAATATATCGTAAAATATTTTTAGTAATATTATATAGACTGACAGTCTTTGCTAAAATGACAGACAGTCTTTGCTAAAATTATTTTTCGTATGCAATAATTTTTCGTAGAGTTTAAATTTAATACGTCCTTTGCGATAACTTATTGAATATTGGTTTGTCAACTTTGAGTAGCACATAGAGCTATTTTACATTATATTACAAAATATAATATTATATTGCATTTTTCCATACCGACTAACTGACTTAAATCAAATAACTTGATTCCACCAAACCTTTTTGGACAGGCATATAATGCGATGAATCAAAAAAACTTGTCTTTGCTGCGAACGGTGGGGCGGTGAACGACCTCAAGTGAGACTGATCATCCGAAACCGGTTCCAAAATTTCAGTATATTTTGAGTATTCTTACGTAACTTGTAGTAAAATATATATTACGGGAGGTTTATCTAAACACTATGGAAATTTTAAATTCAAATCCTAATGCACTAAAACCAAAAATTCATGGATGTCCAGAATATATTGTAATAAGCTACATTATCCAGTCTATGCATTTTAAATGTAGAATAAACATTGTTATAAGTTTTAGTTTTTCAAACGTTTCTACCCAATGTTATATGGCAGTTTGTTTTTATAACACTTCAGGTTATTCCATGATTAATTGATTCAACAGCGTCCATATTATCTATTCTCACCAACACAACGCAAAAACTAATTATAATAAATTAAGTGAGATAGCCACTTTTATATTCTAGTATATTAAAAATACAAAACAACATTTCTACTTTTTTATTCGCTAATATATTCCAATAGACAGGTCAAAGCATAGTTTATACATATTGTTTAGCAGTCTCTTCTGAACCGTACTACACTATAGGTACTAGAAGCTATAGGTTCTCTAAAATTGTACAACTACGCATGTTATATAACTAAAGACTATACACTTTAGAATTTTAGTTTTTATAATTTTTAATTATCTTTTTACGGTGAAAATTAAATTTCTTCGATTTTAATTTTATCGAACAACATACATCCGGATAAATCACTTAACAATAATTTTGATAGATAAATTCTTCACTCAACTGCTTATACCTTCAGACTTCAAAATATATAATACAAATATATAAGATGGGTTTATTGTCTGAAAATTATGAAACACAGTAAGTAGAGTACAATATAATATTATTTGTTAATATTCATAAAACAAATAAAAAGGGCCGTATTTACACTTTTTGCGCATCGGGTTAACAATAATTGTACGCCCTCCCCCCCCCTCAAAAAAAAATCCCTTTTAGATTCTGAGAGAAACAATGAATATATTTATTTTTGTGTCTATGTACACGATAAGTAGTGTAAATAATACTTCGATTCTAAACTTCAGTATCTTGTTCGATGGGAAAGTGAAATTTGTTGGTGCATTGGGGAGGTGAAAAATTACCTATAGTTTTCAAAAGCGACGGGAAAAACAACATAAAAATTAAATAAAAACGGGAATTTTTGGTGTAACTCTAAAACAAATGAATAAATTTGCACCGGTTGTTTATATTTTCATTTTCTATGAATGATAAAATTTTCAAAATATTTTGATTTGTTTTGAACTGTTTAGAAACATTTTCAGTTTCCAATTTTATTAGTATTTTTTTCTATGAATGTTTAATAAAAAAGCTTAAAAATCTTAAACAAGGCTCCTATACATACGGCTATACTATATAGTATACATATTTTTTTTTTTTATAAGCATTTAAAGTTCAAATATTGAAAACATGGAAAAATCATGAAAATTAGCAAATTATTTTGAGTTGAGAATTCATAAAATTAAATAAATCATAAATCTAAAATCTGAAAATGTACTATAAGATTATCCATACATTTTTCTACATTTATCAAAAAAATGTCTAAAAAAATTAAATTAAATTTTTATGACCGTTTGAAATTCATATTTTTACAATATTTGATATTCACTCGATTTCTCATGTACCGGTTTTGTTATTTTATTGTTATTCAAAAACGAATAACTGTAGATAAATGAAAATCTTTTTGAATTTTTATATTTTTATTTTCTATACACCATAAAATTTTGAAAATATTTGACTCTTTTTGGGCTGTTTACGGAGATGGTCAGTTTTCAATATTTAAAGTTTTTTTTTCTATAAATATCAATAAAATTGTTATTGCTGGGTAAAAAAGCGTGAAAATTTAATGGAAACTCCCGATATTTTGTTATAAAGTTATTAAGTATATAAAGTTGAAGTAGAATAGGTATTAAGTAATATCATAGGCTGACTGACAGTTTTCGCTCAGAATAGTTTTTTTTATACAATGACATTATATGATTGAATTCAAATTTAACACCATCCATTACATTTACCCACTTGTAACCTACTGTACAGTAGATCGACATCGACTACCTACTTTTAATTGTTTAGATGTAGTTCCTTATTTATGAAAATTTTGTTAAGAACACAGATCATGACATTGTTTTAATTATTGTAAAAATCTATGACATCATATAAATGTAGGTAATCTATAAAAAAATTACAAAAATTAATAGGTAGTTATCATTGATTGAAAAAATGAGTAAATGACGCCAAATGACCGTATCATAGTCATGCAATGCAAAACGTCCAAGTAAGTATAGGTACTCAAACAAATTCTTACAAAAAAAAAAATATGTTATTTATACATATATTATACACCGGCGCTTGGCCACCCCCCTAAATTTGTCAAAAATTGGCAGTCCGGGGCAAATGTTCCAGTTGCCCCCCCTTAAATACGGCCCTGCATATAACTTAACATTTAATTAAATTTAAATGCAATATTGCTTTATTATGTTTGAATTAATTTATTAATTGTATCATGTTTTAGATCATTGTTAAAAAAAGGAAAACTTAGGTGGAATCAAAAATTGTCAAAGTGTCCTTTCATTGCTGTATTATTTGGTATTTTGTTACTGGCTTTTATTTATATTATATACCACGTTTTAATTAGAAATGGACCAGAATCCAAAGAAACACCAAAGGTAGTACTACTCGTAAAATGTTATATTAGCTACAAATTACAATTATGTATGGCGTGGCGGAGTGCAAAACGATTGCTAACGAATGTCACTTATCGAAATTTTACTTTTTTTAGCCGATTTATTCAATATTAACAATGCATTATAAATTGTTATGAAATGTTACGTTGCAGATTTATAACTACGTTACAAACCAAATAAAATGATACAAAATAATAAGTATAGAAAATTTGGTTGGTATAAATATTGATAATACTGTTACCTAATAGTATAATACTGTTACATAATACATTAAAAACTGAAAAAAAATTTTAAAAACATTACAAAATAATAGTTTTCAAAATATTTTTTTCTACATTTACCTTTTTTTTAAAAATTGTTTCCTTGGTATGAAATTCCAGTTTTTTGTAAATATAAAATTAGATTCTTGTGTATTTTGAAATCATTGTATTTTTTGACTGTTTATTCAATTTATCTTTTTTTGGCAATAGGATTATAACCTATTACATACATTTACATTGTTTTCAATAGAATTTATTGTTGTCAAAGTTTTTGCTAGTGTTTGTTTTAAAACTGAAATCAGTACGTGTGTTGGATGATGGGGCTTATACTTTTTGAAACTGACTATTGTACATCCTATGAAAGCGCGGCTGGTAGGTCTAAAAATTAATTATAAAATCTTGGGTAGGTATTTTGTATTTACTGGTGAAATTTACTTAAGAAGGAACATTTAAGTTTAAATGTTAAAATCGAATGGCGGACATTCCCCCCATCTCGGCTGTTTTCGGAGTATTAGGACATTCACCCCCCCCCCCCGATTATTTTTTGTTTTTTTATTTTTAATTATTTACCTTCGAATATAAAATTTTTTTTTAACACATATTTTTTAGCTTTTGTTTATATTTTAGATTCTGAGCGGAGCGAGGAAGCTAGTGGTTTTACAATGGTGTTTATTTATTTTTTTTTTAATTTTTTATATCCCGTATACAAAATTTCTAACAGAAGGAATCCTTCGATTTCCACATATAGTATCTTATCTTTTAGAAAATTGGATCAAGATGGTACTTTAAAAATGTCATTTTTCGATTTTAAAATAGTTATTTAATGCCACTGTAAAAACCACCAAAAAATTACGAAAAACCGCTAAAAATTGGATTTTAATTTCTAACGCATTGTTTATTACTATAGAAACGAATAAAAAATAATAATATTATAATATTAATACAACTTACATGATATAATAATTAATGACAATATTTAATATTAAGTATCTAGTCTGACAAACCGTTTCCGCTCAGAATAGTTTTTCTTATACAATGATTGAATATCATTGAATTCAAGTTTAATACAATCCATTATACATTGAATCACTTGTAATCTACTGTACAGCAGAGCGACATCCACTTACCTGCTTTTTTTTTTTGTAAAAACTGTACGTTAGCTAAAAAATCTTTTATCTTAAATTCAATAAAAAAATAGTAAATAGTATTTAAAACTAGTTAAGTAAAAATATAATTTTAAATAAAAGTAAAATAATACAGTATACTAATATTGAATTAGATGGTTAACATTGAAATCTAAAATTGTGTCCAAAACCCAGTCAATTACTAAGACTATATTAACATAATATTCTTAGACAATCTTACATCGTCATGAGGCATGAGCATTGAGTCAATATTTTATATCAAGCAGTTTAGTAGTAGTTTAGAGGTTATAGTGGTTATATACGTTTTAAAATAAAAATTCTTCTTTTACATTTTTTTTGTGGTCATGGATAAAATACAAATTCTTAAAACAGACAGAGGAGGTTTAAAAATTGTTTTTAAAGACTATATGTAGACTAAACAAAAAAATCTTGCCAATAAAAAAATTAAGTGGGTGTGTGTGGAAAAAAAAAGATAAATTGTAAAGGTAGTGTAATAACTCCTTCCAGACTTTTCGCAATAGAAACGTCAAATTTATCTAACGAATTCATTATATTTTGTTTATACAATCTTTTTTATTTTTATGTCGGATTTTTTGGTCAGCTGTATCGTACTATATTACATTATTTAGACTACCTATCTTTTATTTAAAATCATATTTAAATATTATTTATTATTTTTTATTGAAATTAAGATTAAAGATTTTTTAGTTAACGAACAGTTTTTTACAAAAAAAAAAAAATATATATGAACGAAAGCTAAAAAATATGTGTATAAGACTTTAAAATAATAATTTTATATTCGAAGGTAAATAATTAAAAATAAAAAAAAAGGAAAAAAAAAGGGGGGAAATGTCCGGATACCGTTAATATCATACATTCATACCTTGAATTTACCGAAGGTTTTTGTGCCCAAAAGATACGGTGGAAATAATCTGGTGTAATATACTAATATAATATTATATTATATTATATACTAATATTAATACGAATATTTAGTCGACACTAAATAATCTGTAAATACATGACCTTCTTCAAGGCTGTCACATTTGGCTATTAATGCTAAAAAGTAAAAAACGCATCTTCAATTTCGTCACTGGGTAAAAACGATAAGCGAAAAATAATTTTAATCATTGACATAAATTATTGTTAATATCTTTGTACGCATTTCTCAAATTTTTGAGTTCTCACGGGGTTGTGAATAATTTTTAGGACGGGGACTATTGGTGCACAAAAATCGGCCCATTGGGGTGTTTCATCTAAAATTATTAAAAATAACCTAAAAAAAAATTTCAATTTATATAAATAGCTGCAAAAGAGTCAAATATTTTGAAAATTTTCTGTTGTATAAATTAACAATTTTATATAAATTACTTTAATAATAATGGCCATAGTTGCCGGGCTTAAGCTCAAAAAAAAAAATACTTAACATAAAAACAATAAATTAGCTCATTACAATAAGACATATTATTTTCTATTTAAATATAAAAAATATCCATACATATTATGACCTCAATGCACCAACAATATTCACTTTCCCATCGAATAACAAGATACTGAAGTTGAAAATCGAAGTATTATTTCGACTACTTATCGTGTACACAGACACAAAAAAAGAAATTAAAAAAACACACATCATTGTAAAATCAATACATTCATCGTTCCACTCAGAATCTAAAATCATTTACTTAAAAAAAACCGAAAAAAGCAAAAATTAATTGGATAATTTTGAATAAGAATGACACGAAACGTATTTATGTATAAAATTAGATTTTTTTATTTCATATATAAAAAAAGAAACATATGCTTTAAAATCCGATCCCTTGATATATATTTTAATGTCTGTTTAAAACTTTTTTCTCTGTTTTTAATTATTCGTAGGCAGTTGAGCGCACTTTTATTGTTGATTACGAACGTAATGAGTTCCTAAAAGACGGCCAAGTATTTCGATATGTATCCGGTTCGCTCCACTATTTTAGAGTACCTAAACCTTATTGGAAGGACAGAATTAAGAAAATGAAAGCAGCTGGTTTAAATGCTGTATCGACGTGAGTACAAATTACAATATTTATAGCCTTGAGAAATTTTTCGAATTTTATAAATTATTTTTTAGTAAGAAATTCATAATTTTTTTCTGATCATAACTAACATTAGACATTTTAATAGAAGATTTCCCACATATTGTTCTATATTTAACAAAAAAAAAGTTTACCTGAAAGTTACGCTATTTATAGTCATGAAATATTTTCGATTTTTACTAATTTTTTTTTATTTATTATTTAATTATTAAATTTGAATTTTTATACAAGGATTATTTATAAGAGGACACAATGTATCCTCTCAGAATCGTTTTTCGTACTTTACAGCAGAATGGTACCCATTTATCCACCTTTTTTTTATTTAAGTTATATATCAATTGCAATATTTATAAAATAAAATAAATTTATCATAATTTAAGATTCTTATTTTAATGACTGTGTAATGGGATTATGGGAAATAGAGGAATACAACATTTAAAAATATAATAATTTTTAATGACATTTAGTTATGTAGAATGGAGTTCACATGAACCCTATCCAGGTGTATATAATTTTGAGGATGATGCTGATTTAGAGTATTTCCTGAAATTAGTTCAAGACGAAGGGATGTATTTGTTGCTCAGACCTGGACCATATATAAGCGCTGAAAGAGATTTTGTAACTACCGAATTATACATTTTAATAAATTAGAAATTAGATTTAAATGATTGTTATTTATACTTCAGGGTGGATTTCCATTTTGGTTATTGAACGTGGTGCCGAAAAATGGTCTAAGAACTAATGATCCAAGTACGTATAGCAATTGTTATTAATTATTGTTATGGCATTTTGTATTTAGTTTTTAAGGTATAGTTATCTGCGTTTCGCAATTTGAATAATTTTAACACCATCTAAAATAAATTACATGAAAATCAAAACAACTCGATAAAGGTAAAATAATTTGTAGTCTGACTTAATATTTTGAATATGAAAATTATATAACTTAGGGTCTAAAACCTACTAACTGGTCGTTCTAGTGTTTTTGCTTATTATTTTATCTCGTAGATATCTTGCTCCTTACAAAAAAAAAAAAGGTACTATAGTAATTATATTCTTTGTTTTCTATGATAGACATAGGATGTTGATATTCAATAGGTCATATACGAATATACGTAAATACTTTAAAATATAAGTCCACACAATTATAAATAATCAATAAAATTTCAAAAATAAAATTACTTATAAATTAAAATGTATTCGGGTGTTTTTATATCATTAAATAATATTATTATTTTTAAATCTTAAGTTGGGGTTTTTGAGCAAATAAGGATAAATTATTTTTAAATATATATATTTACTATATTATAGTAATAACTATAATAATATTATACTATGTGAAGATGTACATTTTAAATTTAATTTAGGTATTATTAATAGAGAGGTTCCATAAAATAACTTCTGCCCATTTTATATCCAAGTTATGATAAATTAATGCAGCCCTCATACAGTCTACTTCTCCGGACGCATAATATAAATTATAATTGATCGTGTATGGCGATTTCCCGCTAAAAACTAGTTCTCAGATTTACGTAATGGACACAAGTCGAATAGATGTATAATAACTAAATAATAGTTAAAACATAACACATAATTAGTAAAAGAACGGTTTACATACTCGACAGTTATAACTGTCTCGCCCTTTTCTACCACTAATACATGTAGCTTTTAGAGGATTATGATTTATGATAGTAATAGTGTATTAACCCTAAATAAGTAGGAAGTGACTTTTTATTTCCGTAAATAAATTATCTTTATTTTTAATAATATAATACATTTTGTTTAATTTTAGGTTATAAATATTATATTGTTAAATGGTTTGATATACTTATGCCTAAAATCGTTCCTTTTTTATACGGAAATGGTGGAAATATCATTATGGTTCAAGTAAAGACTTATCACAATATTGAATACTCGTATTATTATATTATTTTTAAAATTAATTTCACTTTAATATATACCTAGGTAGAGAACGAATATGGATTTTACTACGCGTGTGACCATCAGTATATGATATGGTTACGAGATTTGTATAAAAGTTACATTAAATCTAAAGCTTTACTTTATACAACCGATATGGCTGGATATTCTTACTTCAAATGTGGTTCTGTAGCTGAAGTTTATGCTACCGTGGATTTTGGCCCTTGGGGTAACATTGGTAAGTATATTTACCTAATTATTACAAGGAAATAATAAAAAATTATTACTATTTTTTATTCTTTTTTTTTATGGTGGCTTTTAGTTAATGAAAGTTTGAAATTCTTGAAAGAATCTCAAAATGGAGGACCGCTAGTAAACTCCGAGTATTATACTGGTTGGGCGTCCTATTGGGGTAAACCATTGGACATAACAAGTTCTGATACATATTTGTCTGCCATGAAAGATATGTTACAGTTGAATGCATCCTTTAATATATTTTTGTTCTATGGAGGGACAAATTTCGGGTTTACTGCTGGAGCCGTCAAAAAAAGTAATCAAAATTATACACCATCAGTAACTTCATATGATTTCAATGCTCTACTGAACGAAGCTGGAGATCCGACCGAAAAGTACTTTAAAGTTAAGAAATTGCTCGAAGAAACTGTAAGTCTTAATGATAATATAAATTTGTATGTGTAAATATGTGTGCATAAATATATTTTAATTTGAACTAATATTCCGCGTGGAAGAATTTTGCAGTATCAAACGATATATCACCCGTTCCAGCACCTAAAGGTGATTATGGAATATTGAAAATGCAGCAATTGGTTAGTATTTTCGAAAAAGTCACGCAACGGATTAAACCGATTGAAAGTGATGTTCCACTTGGTTTCGAAATCATGGGTATAAACTCAGGATTTGTGATGTACGAGACTACTTTGACAAACGTTCAAAAATTTGTCAAAGCTCCAGTAAACCTTACTATTGGTAAAATCAGAGATCAAGCAACCATTTTCTTAGACCAGGTATAATTTATAATGCTATAATCATACCCTGGTTAAAGATCCATTGTGCTTTAGACCATAGAGTTAGAGTAATATAAATAATAGACGTATCTCTCCGTATGGACTGCAGATTGTGGTCTTACTGTCCTGAATGGTTTAAATAGATTTTTAAGGATCGAACAGGTTCAACTATCGAAGCTGGGCTACCGTATATTATAATATAATACTCAATAAAAAATAAGTCAGTTTTCCAATAAGTGTATTGAATTACCAAGCTTATCTTTTGTGTGTTTAACTAGGTCTATGCTTAACACAGACTACCACAGTATATATTATTATTATTAGCATTAAATAAAGATTTATAATGTATATCAAGTAATTATACTTTACTATATAATTGATCGAAAACAAAAAATAATTAGGGGTTCCTGTATCACATTATAAATTATAATGATAGTATTAGTTTCATTACCACCGTTCCGGCCCAGGCTCTAGGTCATGTAACTATGGGGCGTTTGTATGAAAAAATGTTCCTGCAAGAATGTTTACTAAGCACGCCTATGACGTAGAGCAAAAGAGGGAGGTAAAACATTTGACTCACTAAGTTTTAGTTTGTCCACTAAACATTGCAAGTACAAAATAAATAAATACAAAACTTGTTAGTACATTTAACAAACAATTTCATTTGAACTAATTACTATTTAGATACTTACTTTTTTACAATTTTGGATTTACCAACAAATCACGTTTCTAAGTCTAGAAAAGTTAATTAATTAAAAATTATTATTTTCATTTTTAAAATTTTTTTGCGAATTAACAATATGGTGTAATTAGAGTTTATATATCATGATAGTTTTAAAAGTTAAATAATAAGGCCACCCTAAAATAGGTAATTGCTTAAATTCATATTTGGGTTATTGAAATGTAATATGAACATAGCTTGGTGACTTTACAACACTTGATTAATAATATACTGCTTATTTAAATGATAGTAGACTATATAATTATGTACTATTTTTCTTGTTATAATATGTTATTTTTACATTTTTAATTTAAGTCTTCAAGCTAAGTCCAATTATTTAGCAGTATATTTTAAAATGAACTATATTTAAAGTCCAAAGTCTTAGGTATAAAATGATATCACAACTATAAGAGCCGTTACTTTTACAAGGAGTTTGGTAAAATTTTACATAAAAAATGTTTTTGTAGACACATAATCAATGGGACCCGAGACCATGCCCCTTCTAGTCCCCTTAATCTGGGATTAACTATGTAATACTATATTTCAAAATAAAGTACATGCTATCAATTTATTTAGGTACAAGTGAATATAATACCTCGAAAATATGAAAATTTACCTGTGAGCTTAAATATAAACAGTACAGTTCAAAAGCTAAGCATTCTAATAGAAAACCAAGGAAGAATTAACCTCGGAAATGATATAGAAGACAGGAAGGTATGTCGGTTACAATTTATTTTACTGATTTTTCATTAAACTTATCCTATGTGCAGGGTATTTTTGAACCTGTAACCTTGGGTAACCATGTACTGGGTCCGTGGAAGATGATAGCATACCCTCTGAACGAAACGTCTTGGCTTTCGACTATCAAACCACACAAACACGCCGTATTACCAGCATTTTATAAAACAACATTTACATTGCCAGATAATTTATCAAAACCTTTAGATACTTACTTGGATCCTACTGGTTGGAAAAAGGTTGGTTCATTATAATTAATTATAACAAAACAAAAATAATTGGAGATTATTTATTTAATTTTATTAATTGCTCAAATGTTTTTATTTTATGTTAACAAGGGCGTTGCTTTTGTGAACGGGATTAATATTGGTCGATACTGGCCATCGGTTGGACCACAAATTACTCTATACGTTCCAGCTTTATTTCTAATTCCTTATCCTGGAGAAAACAGCATCATTATGTTAGAGCTGGAAGGTGTACCTAAAAATTTGTCAATTTCGTTAGTCGACAAACCTAATCTCAATGGTAAAGTAAACCCAATATTCTAAATTTTGAAACACAATGTAATGTAAGTTCACAAACGTTAATTGAGTATCAATTAATAATATTGCTACTCCAAACCTATCAAAATATGTAAATTATATCAATTCTAAAATTTTAGCTGGGTTTTCATATCTTAATTGTTGTTATAATTTAACCTATAATAATGACCCAGAACGGTTGTATTGGTTGTAAGTGTTGTAACGTTCCCTCTCTTTATTATATCTGATTTTTTGATAACACTATTAATATAAATGTATCTTTTATAATATGTCTACTCATGCCGTTACATCTTATGTATTATCCAGTCCTGCCAATTAAACTATCTGTTTTAGTGTTAAAATGTTTAGATCATAAGAAACAAATTTATAACTACATATATTGTTATTATTATAAAATTAGATTAAGCATAGCGTCAGTTGACTGGAATGGCCTATTTAAAATTTTAAACATAAATGTAGCAGTTGATACTTTTTATGAAAATATTTTTAAAATTATCGATTTACAATAAAAAAAAAATATTTATGCTTGCCAATATATCCCTTATGGTTTAGCGGCATATTAAAAAGCCTAATAGTTAAAAATAACTCTTATAATATTATATAAAAATCGGCAAACAAAACCAATTTTATTATATATTATAATATTATTATTAATATTCTTGTTACCTAACTGCATTGTCTAGGTTTTCAAAACCTCTTTCGTTCATGGTTAGTTACATTTGTACCTAAAAGGAACCAATTTGTTGAATATAAAAACTTTTGTTCAAGTCATTGTAATCGGATTTCTGGTGTTCCACAAGAAAACCATATCGCGCTACTCTTATTAAATGTATTCTGTTATGAAAACAAATTTTCCAATGAGCATAAATTTATTGTTTCCCGATGATCTTAAATTATATCGTATTATTAAAACTTTTTATTATGCCATAATGATAAAATTACTTAAATCATCTCTCTGTTTGGTGTGACAATAATAAATTATATTCCTGCTGGATTCAAATATTTCTGAATTCAAAGTAATGTCGTTCTTGAAAAAGCGATCCTCGTCTTCATACCTAACTATTATTTAAAAGTTCTTGAATTCATTAGTGTCTACGAGAATAGAGATTTAGGCATACCTGTGGATACATCTATATCATTTAATGCTTATTATATTCACGTGCCATAGAAAGCTGTAAAGACTTTAATAATTTAATATTGTGTTGAAATCATTATATTTCGAATAATATGTACGATTAATTTTTGATTATAATCCTAAAGTTGGTTCGTAGGTTCAATACAAGCAATAAAGACGATTCAAATTTAGTTTTTAAGAATAGGATTGCTTATGTGTAATTTTATACGACAACCTCACTCTTCTTACCACTCACTATTGACTTTTTTTAAACGTTGAACTATTAGAAACAATACCAATAAGGCTATATTCTTAATTATTTAAATTACTTAAAGAAAAGATTTATTTTCCAATTCTACTTGAATAATTAAATTTATCGATTCCTATTCGTAATACTTGACAATCAAATACTTTGTATGTGCAATTTCAGTCCACTAACTTAAGCAGTTTAGCTCTTGTAAATAAATTTATGATTTTAGTAATTAAGGAAAATGTTATAATAAAAAGTAAATGAATAATATATCATTAATTGTATTACTGAATTTAGAATGTTGTTATCATTATAGAACATTTATAGTATGTATCTAAAAACTATAATATTATATTATGTAATAATTGTTAAATATATATTTTTAATGGATAGATAATTATCATCAAAGGGGGAAGAGGTGGCCGAGCGGTCTAAGGCGTTGGTTGCGGCTCAGCTGTCGCCGGTTCGATTCTCGGCCACTGGGTGAAATTTTTCTTCGGGCAAGTCACGGTGTCCGGAGAACAAGTGCCGCCATCCCCCACCCGGGGCATGGCAGAAACCTACAGGTGCTCCACTAGAAATTCTGCCACGACCACACACACGTGTTAACAACCCACAGTAACCCCCCCCCCAAAAAAATACAGTACCATAGGCTAATGACCTATGTTTTCGAAGCCTCAACCCTAATAAAAATAATAAAAATAAAAATAATCATCAAAACATATTTATAATTAGTAATACCTAATTAGGTGATACAATCTATAATAATTGTACTCCAATACTACTTAACACTACTCTAACGATACTTAGGTAGGTATTTTAATATTACAAAAATATATTTGAACGAACCATTTATAAGACTTATTAAGACTGAATCAATTTCTTATTTATTGTGTTTACAAATTGTTTGCTCTGAGTTCAGACATGAAAGTCAAAGTCGGTACCTACACGTGTTTTAATTCCCTTTTATTTTAATTATAATAAACATAAATAATAAAAATAATAAAAATGTCTATACAACTAGTTTCCAGGTGTTTCAAGAACATTGAAATATGATATAATATTTATTTATTTATTTTAAATATTTATATTTTATATTACTATTGTCTTGTATAATAATACAATTGTGCTTGGGTGGCATTTTGGGACTTGTATAGGTAACCTATTGTACACATTCTCAGTAATCAATCAAAACGTTAATCTCAATTGCTAACTTTATACTCGTATACAAAGAAGTCATACTTAGAGAAATTCCGATTTCCTTCCAAATCTTACTAGTGAATTGAGCGCCTCGAGCCATGATCTGACACACCTCGTGATTTTGATTATGAAAAATTCACTAATGAACAGCTTTAAATTACCGATCCATCAATAATAATTAAGACAAGTACAAAGGTGTTCGTCGAGATTGGGTGAAGATACTACAATATGGTTCCCAATAAATACGATTTAACAGAGGGATTAATGGAACATTTGTAGGAACATTGTGATGAACATTAAATAGTAGTGAAATTACGTTTATTTAATTATAAAAAAATATAGTTTTTGTTTAATAATATATCCGCATTAGCTAGTCTTGTAAGGTGTTTAAATATTTTTGACCTACTCAAATTTGTATTTTAAATTCCTGTTTTTGTAAAAAGTACTCTGACAAGTATTTTAATTACTTTCTCGTAGCTCAGCTAGAAAAGTATGTGTAAAAACTTGTATGCTGTGTAATAATGGTTAATTTTAAGTGTGTATATAGTAGTATAGTACACACTACTGTGTGTAGCGTGACCAACAAATAAATGGTTACTAAATTCATTATCTGGATCTGTACTGTACTTAAGCACTCGAGGCTTTGATATTGTACTAAAAATGCAATTATTCACGAATATCATAAGAAAATGCAAAACAATGCAAAACAAATTTGAACTCTGTGATGTATGAATTGGATTTTGTATTTTATGAGCTATCCTGAAGTGCTATGAAAAAAATTCAAATGCTACAAATTCCTATCCCAATGCCTCTATAAATTACTTACTATACCTACCTACCTAATAGCGATATAAATATATATAGTAAAATATTTTTAGTAATATTATATAGACTGATATTCAGACAGACTTTGCTAAAATTATTTTTAGTATGAAATTATGCATCGTCGAATTCAAATTTAATACGTCTTATGATGACTTATTGAATATTGGTTTGTCAACTTTGAACAGCACATAGAGTTCCTGTGTTTTTTCTCCATACCTACTAACAGACCTAAATCAAGTCACTTGATTGCACTTAACCTATTTTTACAGCCATATTCTGTTTCCAATTCTGTCTACAGTAAGCATTTATTATAATAATGGTTTGAACATTGAAAATTCCCTCAAATAGTGTTCCTACCTTGATATTTAAAAAGCTATGGTGCGATGAGCCAAAAAAAACCAGTCTTTATTGCGGATGGAAGGGCGGGTGGTGAGAAGTCTAACGTGAGACTGGTCGTCAGCTGAGAAACCGGTTGGCCGTTAAAACTTTCCTGTCTATTCTGACGTAACTTGTACTACGCACTTCGACGGTTTAAATTCCAAATCAAAATCCTGTTTCAGTAAAACCAATAACTGCATGTAGTCAGCATGCATCCAGTCTATGAATTTTCAATGTAGAACAAACATTTTTTTAAGATTAATAGTTTTATAAACGTTTCTGCCTAATGTTATGTGATAGTTCGTTTTTCTAATAAATCGGTGTGTTCAGTTTAACAGTGGTTCTAAAAAGTGGATATTATATCTATTCTTACCAACACAAATCAAGGACAATTATTGAAATATTATAATAAATAATGTCATTACCTAGTCTGTTAATGGATAAAAAAACTACCGAATAAAACAAAATTCCACTTTATTAAAAATACAAAACAACATTTTAACTAGGTACCTATTGAAATTTTATATATTAATTAATATTCTAAAGAACAGGTCATTGGTCAAAGTATATTTGTATACACATTTTTTATCAGTCTCATCTGAACTATACTATACCAAGGATCCTATAGGTTTTCTATAAGTCAACAACTACGAATGGTATATAAATAAGACTTGTAATTATCGTTTCTCAGTGAAAATTAAATTTCTTCACCTTTATTTTATTGAAAAACATACATCCGGATAAATCAGTTAACAATAATTTTGGACTTTGGTTGATACATTTTTAACTCAACTGTTAATACCTTCAGACTCCAAAATTCAAATATAATACAAATATATAATATGATTTTATTGTCTGAAAATTATGGAACACAGTAAGTAGAGTACTTATAATAAATTAATATTTATATTAGTATATTACAAATAACTAAACATTTAATTAAATTAAAATACAGTATTGCTTTATGTTTGGATTAATTTATTAATTGTATCATGTTTCAGATCATTGATAAAAAAACGAAAAGTGATGTGGAACCTAAAACTGTCAACGTGTCTTTTTATTGCTGTATTATTCGTTATTTTGAAACTGGCTCTCATTTATATTCTATACGTTTTAATTAGAAATGGAACAGAATCCAAAGAGACACCAAAATTACCACTAGTAAAATTTAATATCAGTATATCACACATAAGGAAGATGGATTTCAAAAAAAAAAATTATTATTTTACTAAACAATAA